ATTTCTTTTTCACTTTTACCTTTTTTTTACAAGGTGGAAGTGCATTCGGCTTCTTCCCGGGAGGTACTTGTTACATCCACACTAGATCAGCTGAGCGACATTGGTCGCCTAGATCCAGGTCCGTAATGAAACAAATTGTACGTTCAAATTTACAAAGACGATTTGCGAGCTCAATTGTCACTGGATTGAAAAATTGTATAACACTTTTTTGTTGTATTTTGTGTCAGGAAGCCATGTTTTTTTTTTTAATTATTATAACTGGGACACCCTGTATAGGGCTGGATATTCTGTTAAGGTGTACATGAAAAGCAATCCAGCCAAGTACGGGATCAAAATCTGGAGTATGACTGCTTGTGAAACATCGTGTTGTAAGAACATTCAGATATGCTTTTGCAAAATTGGTGGAAAATCTAAAGGAGATCTGGGGAGAGTGGTAGTGATGATAAAGCTCTTTTATTAAATGACTCACAAATCCTCGGACTGTCTATGAAACCATTTAGGATTTTGTATACATATAAATTATCAAAATAAGTTCTTTTCAAAGACAAATCCACAATTTTCAATTCATTCGTAGCTGGGTGAAAATCATGATCATGAAAGGACATTGGTTTGTCAGATCTACTGCATAGGGCTGTAATGAATCTATGTTTGAATTTGAATAAAAATTGCAATATTTTCTTTTAAAAATTATCGAAAAATTAACATTTTCAGATTAAAATGGTCACTTGGGTGTTACGTAACGTGTAAAGAAAGTAATGGGGGTTAAATAAAATTTTATAACATCTTCCCTTTAGATAACAACTTTGGTTTGGTTAGTAATTTATCGATACTGCCTGTTTGGCATGCTAATGCGAACGAATAAGTTCAATAAATTAGTGACAAAAACTGTTCTTACTTACCTTTCATGTTCCAACATTTTCTTCGAAAGCGATTCCTTTTTTCTGTCCCTTCTGAGGGTCATATTTTTTTCTAAATCTTCTTTTTCCTGTTGATGCCTTAAGGTCAATACATTCTGTTCGTCTCTTTTTCTTTTCAGTTGCATCTCTCTTTCGAATTTGTTCGTTAGTCTTTCCAATTCTTTTTCCCATTCGTCCTAAAACGTTTTTTTTTTCTTTTAATAACGATATCATAATGATTAACAGTTAATTTTCGTCATAAGAACAACTGTGACAGTTTACTTGATTGAATTGTTCTTCTCGAAAAATAATGTCGCAATCAGTAGGTACAAGTTCTGTCAATTATTTAGACATCGGATATAATTCCTCAAGAATGCAATGTAATAAATACTTTTCCTACACATTTTATTTAATGTAGAAATTAATTTTTTGGTACCTACCCTTANTAATGAGAGAAGAGTTCGATGTAGCATTAAAAAATTTAAAGAATAATAAGGCGCCAGGTGTAGATGGGATACAGGGGGAAATTCTAAAACATGCAGGACAAGAGGTTAGAGATCGTATATTTAAGCTAGTTAGTCACATTTATGATACGGGGAAAGTCCCAGATGATTATAAACGGAACGTAGTAGTAACATTACCTAAGAAGAGAGGCGCGGACAGGTGCGAGACATTTCGAACAATTAGCTTAAAAGAGACATATTAGAGGCAGAGACAGGAGTTAGGAGGGGTAGAGGTAGACCTAGATTAGTTTACTGTTCGCAAATGGTTAAGGATGTGGGCTGTTCTAGTTTTAGGGAAATGCGAAGTTTAGTCCAGGATAGGAAAGAGTGGAGGTACGTGTCCAACCAGTCTTAGGACTGACGATCTTATGATGATGATGTTGGAAAAGGCAAAAATCGTCAAATCTATAACCATAAAAGTAGTTCTTATTATATTAGGAAGACTGTTGCTTTTGGTTGATTTCCCTATAACGAAACACATCGTTTCGTTTGAATGGTGGACATACATATAATAACAATTTTCTATAACGAAAGAAAATGCGCATTAAAGAAAATTTACGCTGAACATTTTAAATTATGAAGAGAAAGAACTGACAATGAGAAGTGTTTCGTAGAAAAAAAAAACGATTCAAACGCGAACGCAAAACTACAATTTGCTGTTGAAGACCAATCAACAGGATACACACGATGTTTTTTATATATAGACAAGAAAATCTTATGTAAATGACTTTTTTATTTTATTTACTTATTTACCTAAATTTAGAAAAATTATGTTACCGGAGTTTGTTAATTAATGTTTCCGCATATCTTTTATAACGTCTAAAAGAGTGACGGTTTAACATTCTTGTCGTAACGACCGAGTCTTCTTCCTGATCAACATTTATTGTCAAGTTATTTAATAGGTCATGGCCTCTCATCGAAATTTGCAACAATAGAAATATACTTAGGGGGTTAATGTTTTTGTAACATAGACATATATATTCTAGACGTATTGTAGAGGATCTAGAAATATTTATTTGGTACATTTGGATCTTTGCTATATCACCAACTTTGTACAGCGAAAGAATAATGTATTATTAGTTTTAATTTGAAAGAATTTTAGGTAGCTACTTCAAATGCAGAATAACTATAATACTTGGTTCTAATTTGATCTTTGCGCATTTTTGTTTACTTAATATTTTATTCAATTATTCAAGAATGATATTGTTTTTGACTATTCTCCATTTCATCCCTTACTTTGAATATTATTAAATAAAGTTCAAGACAATTAATAGTTGGAAGGTCTTTATTTATGGAGAACCAACATTAAATCAATGTTTATTTTAATATTATGTACCAGTTAGAAGCACCGCCCTATTTAGAACCTTTTCTTACATAACTAAAGAACCTTGAAAAAGCCTCTTAAACAGAGGCAAAACGTCGGTGATGGTTCTTCATAAATAAAAACCTTCCAACCCTTAATGGCCTTGAACTTTATTTAATAAAAACAATATGTTACAAATTCTTTGATTAATTTTTTATCATCAATATGGTAAATGTCTTCAACCAGAAGATTAGTTGGACACGAAACTTCACTTCTTATTATATGTATTTGCCAGCAATAATTTAATATCTAGGTCTACTTCTACCCCTCTAAACTCCTGATTCTGCTTTTAATATGCCTCCAAGAAGATGGTTATTTCTTATTGATTTCCATAAACTGTCTGTTCTCCTATTCTTTCTAATACCACCTCATTTATAAACGTTTCTGCCTATGTCATTTTTAAAATCCCCCTAGAACACAACATCTCAAACGTTTCCACCTTCTCCTATTTATTTTATTTAACCACATTGAAATACCTGGTGGTTAATATTAAATATTGATTTGAAAATTCATTCTCAGTTTTTATCCATTGTAAGTTACCTCAAATTAATGAGAAAAAATTCGTTACTGCTGACGCACCCTCGCCGGTAGTCGAACCTGCGACCTTTGGCTTTACGCAATAATTCTCTGACAACTAAGCTACGAGGACGCGGGTTCGATTCCCGGCAAGGGTGTAACAGCAGCAACGAATTTTTTCCTCATTAATTTGAGGTAGCTTAGAGTGGTTAAAAACTGAGAATGAATTTTCAAATTAATATATTACATGTTTTAACAAATAACAACGACAACGCCACTGGCTTAGTAAGTGTTTTTGTTTTCATTCTAATTAATCTGCGAAAACAAGTAAAGCATAAATAACTGCCTAGGTTTTGTTTTTATTTTATTTTACATATTTTTATGTTTTCTCATTCCAATAATACGTAAACAAGGTACAGTTTGAACACGAAAAATAAACGCAAACCATCGCCTGTCAAGGAAGTTGTAACGTCTAACGACGTGCGTACATGATTTGTATTAATGAGATATAATTTTCCATGTAGCTGCTGAATTGTGACCAGTTCTTTTCATTTTCTGCTCCTTGTAATTGTTATCGGTCATGGTTATTGCATCAATGTGCGAAAACTTGTAATAAAACAACCGTTTTAATTACCCTCGATTGTTCGTTCGTGATCAGAATAAAAAAGAAATGCAGAAATCACGTCAGTCAGGTGCACATGATAAAATAAAATACATATTAACATTCTGATGTATACTTTGTATTATCGAAGATTCCTAATTAGTTAAATCCTATAATGATGATTAAATGCATTAAGTTTAGATTAAGATATCAGAAAAAAAGTCTCATCAAACAAGCACTTAATAAATGTTGTGCTCATTTAATGATAACAATTAAAAATTGATGTGGTAGGGGCTACGTCAGATGTGATTCAATTATCTAAGGTCAAAAGAAATTAATTATGACAGCATCAGCATTCGAAAGGCTTCAAGAAAATAGAATAAAACTGATTTCAATACCAAAAAAATCAGTAAATACCTTTATTTGGAAATCATTATCATAAGGTCGTCAGTCCTAAGACTGGTTGGACACATACCTCCACTCTTTCGTGTCCTGAGTTAATCTTTGCATTGCATTTCCCTAAAACTAGAACAACCCACATCCTTAACTATTTGCGAACATTAATCTGATCTAGATCTACCTCTACCCATCCTAACTTCCGTTTCTGCCTCTAATATGTCTCTGACTAGACCTTCATGCCTGAGAAGGTGTCCTACTAACTTATCTCACCTATTTCTTATTGACTTCCACTCTATAGAGTCCTCTGTTCTCCTATTCTTTCTAATACTTCTTCATTTCTACCCTTCTCTATCCACGGTATCCTCATCATTCGCCACATTTCGAACGATTCCAAACTTTTTTTTTCCCTCGCGTCCACTGTCCATGTTTCGCACCCGTACAGCGCCGTGTTCCAAACATACACCTTTAATAATCTTTTTCGAATTTCTAAATTAATCGTTCGCGAGCATAGAAGTGACTTCTTTTTATTGAAGGCGACTCGACCCTGCGCTATCCTCTGCTTTATATCCCTACTACTCCTTCCGTCCTGACTTATCTGACTTCCTAGATACCTAAAATCAGCCACTTCTTCTAATTTT